CCCACTGTACTACAATGATAAATTTCCCCCTGGAAATATGAAATTTCTTCTTTCTGGCTCATTTTCCCTAACAAGTTATTATTTTAAATTTTTAATAATGCTAATATCAACAAAAATTCATTTTCCTTCCTTTGATTCTCATCCTTCATTTATTCCTCTTTCTGCCTTACTCAGTCATAATTTCTAAGAAATTCTCTCTTCTGGTTCAACTTACTTCAGCATTCACATTGTTTTAAAAAGGCACAAATGGCTTATTTGGTAATAAGGAGTAAAAAATTCTTAATTCATGTTCTTTCTTCTGTCTTTTACATTTTTAAGGTCTGCCAACTCCTTCCCATCTATTATCTCATCTATAACTTGATATTTCTTCCACAATTCATCTTAAGATGAATTCCAAATGCTCACTCACTGTTATCCCAAACATGCTATGCTCCCTCCAGGGCCACAGCTTGGAACATACCTTTTCCCTTCTATAAGGACTTCCCCATTCTCTTCAGAAAAGTCACCTGTTACCACCTTTTCCAAGTTTTGGACAGAGCTACAGATACTCTACTTTTGTTCTTCAACTTCTGCCAACCCCTATCTTTCCTGTTTTCCTGTCATTCTGCTCTGCACACTACAAAGACTTCTTTATGTTCCAAACCTTCCACATTCTCCTTGATGACTTATATACCACTTGATTTCCAAACTTCATTATTCTTTTTTATCTTGGCTTTTAATGGGTTTTGGCTCACACTGCCTTTGAGAAGGGATTATTTTTTGGCTACTTCTTTTACCTTGTTTCTCTGTGAGCATCCTTTAAGCCTATAACAAATGAACAAATCCTCTACATGAAGAATCTGGGGCATATTCTTAATTCTATACCCTTATTTCCTGGATCAGTAATAGACATTCAGTGGTTGAATGGAAGAAATGCTTCCCTATTCAAGAGCAGCTCCTCTGACTAATTAAAGAAATATGTCAAAACAGCTCCCAAAAAACCCAAATGTCAACCAAAGAATTAAATATTTTGAAAATGAGAAGAACCACTTGGTCCATTTCTCAACAGAGGTTGGGAACAAAGAAAAAGAAAGGGAAGAAATAAATCAGAATTCAAACTGGAATAAATATAAAAATGTCTAGTTATAGTGTAGAGGGGTGGAATATTTGAGCCTAAGACTCTGGTGAAGTTAAAAGCTATTTTATATATCCTAAGGTTTTTACCACTTTTGTGACATTTGCCATCAGCTTTTGATCAAGGCCAAATCTCCAAAAGAGGAAATGAGATATAAAAAGCCCATGAAATGATAAGAATGATAGAGCCTGGAAAAAGGAAGTTTTGACATGATAGAAATAACTCTTTAATACTGTGTGCCTCATGAATAGTGGGCAAAGAAAAAAAAAAGCAACAACAACCAACCAACAATGTACATTTGACAATATCAGTGCTTTGTGAGAATGGACTTCATAAAACAGGAAATACTATTTGAATGTGGGTTATTTATTATTATTCAACAGAAGGGCAGTTACCTCTCAGCCACATGGTATTAACCATGGCCCGCCACCTTTCCCAAAACTACTATAACAAAAGTACTTAGAGACAAACAGAACACTGGAAAGAACTTATTTCTTCTCTTAAATTCATGCTATCCACTTGAAAACTGAGCTCCTATGGGCCCAAGTAATAGAAATGAGGCATCCAGAAGCAGAACGCTATCTGAACTTGGCTGTCTGCCTTCAAGGATCAAATAAAAAATATGTGTTTAGAGAAGCGGAACAGCTGCTCAACTAGCTTAGATGACTGGTTTTGAGTCCTCAGGATGTTCCATTTTTCTCAGTCCACTATTCCCGGAGTCTCTAAGAAGTCAGACTAAATATAGATTTTTGATCCGGGATCTCCTGAAGACAAAAGCATTTCTTCCTCTTTATAACTCATCATAGCATTTAAAGCATATACCATCACAATGTTTTAGCCTTTGGGCTACATTAAGAAATGGTTAGAAAGTCTTCATTATTGGCTCATTCAATAAATATTTGTTGATGCTGTGTGTATCAAAAGGAATAAGACAAGCCACATATATGTATTATATATGATGTCATGTAAGTATCACACAGAGAGCAATTAAATAAAGCTTCTCACTTTGTAAGTACTCAATATTGATTTCCTTCACTACTGTTTCTACTTTAAAGCCCTACCTTCCAGTTCACCATCTTAAGGGAGACAAATAAATAATTCAGTTAAAGTAAACTTGTGATATGATAGAATACAAGATATGATAAGACAAGGGAGTGTCAAGCGTAGGTGGCATGTTAGTTGAGTCTTGGCAATAGCTGCCTTGGAAGATACCAGATCATATAGAGGAATAAGGGAAACTCACAGTTCAATTGATTTGCATCTCAAGAAGCAAAAGAAAAATTTCTTCTGAAATCTAAATAGTTGATAACAGAAAGAATAATGTCAACTTAAATTGGAACTACCTACTTTGCCTTTTCTATTTAAAAAATTCACTTCTAGACAGAAGTGAATTTAAAAATACCTAACACCACTCTATACAGCACAAAATTGGGGTGGGGGAGAATGTTTCCACATAAAATAAGTGACTTGCTTGTTTCTATTCAAAGGAAATTCAGAGCAAAGAAGATAAATTAATCTTTACTAAAAATTAAATGCAAAAGAACTTCTAAATATCTGTCAAAAATAAGGCTAAGTGAACTATATATCTGATGCAACAACAATAACAATGGAAAAAAGAAACCCCTGGGTAAGAAATTTTATAATCAACTTCTTTCTACTTTGGAACACTCCTAGAATGAGACAAAGAAAAATCTAGACCTGGAATAGTAGAAAGACATTAGGAATCCATTCACCACACTGTCAGAGATTTGTTTAACAAACGGATGAACAACAGGGTCATCAGATATCAAAGGAAAAAGGAATGGATTGAGGAAAATTAATGAAAAATTAAGATTCTAGAGTAAAGGAGTACACATTTTTAGAATACCCATGAGTTTGAGTTAGGTAGAAAAGAAATTATCAGGATAAAATAAAGGAAAGAACCATTTTTATGCTTCCCTACAAAAAAAAAATTACAGAATGCTTTGTAAAAAAAAAAAAACTAAATTTGACATTTTAATGTACCTAAACAAGTACTAAATGAATTCTAGACAGAAGTGAATTTAAAAATACCTAACACCACTCTATACAGCACAGAATTTGGGTGGGGGGAGAATGTTTTCACATAAAATAAGTGACTTGCTTGTTTCTTTTTTTAAAACTAAGCATAAATGAAGGACATCTTAAAAGTATTGTCAATAGAATCCAAGCATTCCAATTGTGTGTGTGCATCTGTTTTAAGGAATAGAAAATCATCATGAAGAAAGGATTTTAGGAAGTATACTAATGTGGTTAAAAAATAATTGGACTTGCAGGAACAATTACTGTGCTGTACTGTAAGGGGAGCTGTTGGCACATAAGAGCAAAGCGCATGTATGAGCTCATCCACCAGCTTCAGCAAGACCCACTTCCAGCTAGAAGCAGTCATGTTTCAACACCTCCGATTCCCTAATGCTGACAAGCTAAACAACTTGTTTTGTCTCTGGGAGCTTTTCTCTGGTGATTAACTGCTTATGGTGAATACTAATTATATGAAAGTTCAGTATTGAAGAAGTGGTGTCCTACTTCCTCTACCTCCAACTCAACTTGACTTTGAACCTAGAGAAGGTGCTAGGCACAGCCATTGCAAAGCACATTCAAGAAAGACATTCCTCTCCTCTACCCCCAAGAAATAAGTGTATCTCCTACTTCTTAGTAGAGCACAGCTCATTGACAAGAAATCTCCTTTAACCTCTGGGCTCCAAACCAAATATAATTACAATAAAGTGAGGTTTTAAAATCTTGCAATAACCACATGAATAAATCTACAGCAAGAGTTTGTGAATTAGTAGACTATCAGTGTCCTTGATTCCCCATGCCCCATGTTGAAAAATCACCCCAAATTGCCAGTTCTTAGGAACTGCACGTCAGATTAAAATCTTCTCACCAGGGACTCTATGGGAATTTGTTCTTGTTTTAAATCCTAAGTGCTTGTTAAACTGCCAGCACGGCAAAATTAGAGACCATTAAACAATATAAGGCAGCAAGCGATTAAATCTACCAAATACACATTCAAAGCAGCTTAAGTTACTTTTTAATTAAAAATAAAATATCATTGGCTAAATTCAGATGTCTTAGCAATCCAGAAGTTAGAAGGCTGTTCAAAATGCAAAATGATAAGACTACATATAAAAGGAGACATAGGGTAAGAGGCAGACTGGTCAGCAGTCTCTGTTTGGTCCTAAAGCCAGGGCAGCAGGGTGTTTCATTCCTGACCTGATTTAAGCAGTGGCCATTAAGTGGGGACTCTCTGCTACACTGCAGAGTGAGGATTTCATGTGGCTGCTTATTAAATATTAGCAAAGGCCTCCAAGAAGACAGGGTGTTCCACCTTCTTGGCACAGGAATGAGTAGAGTAACAGCATTGCAGGAAGCTAAAATATTAGAGATGTAAAGATGGCCAAAGGAAAGGTTAGTGCTATTTTTAAATACAGCTTAAGCTAACTGATAAACATTTCTTGAAATAATCATTAGTTTGGGGGGAGAAGGCATGGGAGGTTTTCAGTTAATGGGATCACTTGAAATTGAAAGAAATTTTTACTGTAAAGTTAGAAGTAAATAAACATTGTAGCTTTAAGTTGTTCCTACTTGTTTAAAGTAAAGAAAAGAAAAAGAGCCAGGGGGCTTAGTCAACTTCAGGCAGAAAGCCAAGAATTTGAAGATCAGACTTAAGGCTGGGATGATATCATTCACTCTGAAGTCTTGATTCTGTTTCTGAAGCATGAGAAAATTTACTGGTAAAACCTTACCTCACCCACAGTATTATTTTTAACTCTATTTTTTCCTCTTGAGAATGATTTTCCAAATATGTTTTCTGCCTTACATATAAATGCTATGAATTTACTTTTAGTTTCATACACGGTCTTACCTAAAAAGCTTGCTCTAAAGTAAAGTACGGGTACTTGGTAGCTGCAGGAATATAAGACATGATACTCATATTTGATCACTTCGGACGTTGCTGCAATCTCAGTCACTTCAGAATCATCTGAGGGTTGCTCTAAAGCCTCCTGAAAAAAAGCAGTAACAAAAGGAAATGTGTTTTGTCAATTTAAAAAAATACTAACATGGAGAACTAAGATATGATTTTCTTCTTGCAAAATAATAGTTAAGTAAATATAAGGCTATGAGGTAAGGAAAAGGGAGTACCCCATATTAATGTTTAACATTTGAATCCTGGGGAAATAGTAAAACCAGAAAACATTAGCATTAAGTAATTCCAGATTGTTTGGGGAGACAGCAGCTCTGAGTAAAGAAACAGAAAGGAGGAAAAACAACAACTAAAAAAAGCAAAAGGATTTATTGCAACAGCAACTCTAAAAGTCTTTACTGTACAATTTTAGCAACAAGATGATGACTATACAAGCTACCTTCTTCCCTACCTGTGAAAACTAAAAACATCCTAACAATTGAATGAGATGCTATGAAATGTCCCTAAAGATTCTATTGTGCGTGCCAAAAGATGATTCATTGTGTGGGGAACAATTCCCAGTTCCATTTTAAATAAGAAAGTTATTTTGCAAGAGGTTGAGTTTGTTAGGTATATTTCAAATCCTGAGATGATTCTGTTTTCTTCATTATTATGCTATCTTTAGTATAGTTCTACAATAAAGCTTGATTTGTAATAGAGTAGACGGCAAATATTAATGTCAAGTTAAACAAGGTTTTGTAAGTGGACGTGGTGATGGTCATTTCACTTTTCACCTAAGCATTCTTTACTGGCTGATTTTTTAATTATGCATGGAGATTTCTTAAGAATGTACTTTAATGTTTAGAAGCAATTAATTGGACACATTGAATCTGAGTCTGATTTTATCCACATGCACTCACTTATTTGGGTTGAAGAATTTCCTTTGAAATTAAATTAGTAGAAAGAATGAAGCAGATAGGTTTAGTTCACTTCTGCCTCTCATTAAAAGGGTAATGGCAACAATAAACAATCAGAAAGGACTACAAGAAAGATTCCAACTTTATCAATATGAAATAAGGTTGCCTGTGGAGATAAGTAAAGCTGGGGCTGCTTTCCAGATCTGTATCTCCTTTACTAATTCCCAGCTCACAGTCAGTTCATTGGGGAGATGCAACAATGGCTAAATCAAATGGATGAGATTTAAAAATTATTTTTCATTCAACCCCAATAAACACTACCAATTAAATATAATGAATTAAATATCCAAAGATAAGTCACTGAAAAATCCCAAATACAGAAAATTAATGCAGCAACATGAAAAAGGTTTTATTGTTTGCTTGCTTTTAATTTTCATTAGTTATGAGTGTCTACATCTTTTATAGCAGTTCTTTTAACCAAATTCTTTCACTTTGTCAACAACTAGGTTGCTTAGTATATAACTTCTTTCTTCCTTAACATTACAAAAGAATTATATCTTGGTGTTATGGTTTGGATCTTAAATGTCCCTCAAAGGTTATGTTGATGGCTTGGTTGCCAGCCTGTGGTGCTTAGGAGGTAGTAGAATTTTTAAGAGGTAAGGCCTAGTGAAAAAAAGGTAGGTTACTGGGGTGTGCCCTTGAAAGGATACTGGGATCCTGGTCCATTCCTCTCTTGCTCTCTGCTTTCCTGCTGCCATGAATTGAGAGTTTCCTGCCAGACGCTCATGCTACAATGGTCTGCCTCACCACAGACCCAAAGGCAATAAGGCCAAGATATCATGGGACCAAAACCACTGAAATCATGAGCCAAAATAAATCTTTCTTCCTCATAGCTGATTTTCTTAGGAATTTTGTCATGATGGAAAACTAATACAACTTGTGATTAAAAAAAAAAAAAGAACTGCAAACATTGCATAAATACATAAAATAGTATCTCAGAATTGTAACTATTTTAAGAGTCCAGCATATATTTTTTCCATGTTATTTTTTAGCACAAAAACACATATAATAATACATACACACCTCCTTCCCACCATCTGCCCCCCCAATTCAATGATACATATATATACACTAGGGTTGATTTTTTCACTTATGAATATCCTGCCACCTGCTGCCTGGTCAGTGGTATAGACTTGGTGCCTTCACTATATTCCATCCTAGGAGTTCCTTGCAAGTGGTTTATTTTTTTTTTTTAATTTCCATACTGTTAGATATTTTAGGATGATTATGTAATTTTCTTCTATTACACACAACGCTGCAGTGAATACCCTAGCTCATATATTCTTATACACCTCTGTTTTTCTATGGTACAGGTTCCTAAAGGTGAAATCACTTTATCAAAGAGTATATGCATTTTAAATTTCAAGGGATACTACCAATTTTTCAGAAAAAGGCTGTGACATTTACATATGTGCTTACAATTTATCTTAATTAGAGTCACCCCTTGCTTATTGCACTCTTATCATAGTCTTTTTTACTGTTATAGTCAAAGCTGTATGTTTTCTGTTTGTAACTTCTGAGTTATACTCTTTCTGTAGGGCTCCTGCTATACCATACCTCACTCTTAATAACTATAAATATGTTATATTCCTTTATTATACACACATGTTGTTAAATTAACATTTAGATCATTAACTCATCTAAATTTTGGATTTGTACATAACTGTCTTCTAATAGCCATTTCCTTTCTTGTTGATTTTAAACATAACCATCATCATAATTTAGGGATGTGTATATGTTCAGCTTCTTCCGAGCTTCTTCTCTTCTTAGACCATCACTGTGCAATACTGTATACATAATCTAAGGAATTGATTAATTTCTGTAGAAAACTGTACAAATACACTGCCTCAGACCCCACACTGCTAGGGAGTATAAAATTTTCAGAAAGAATGTCCTTCACTCAAACCCAATCAAGCACACTTGAGGTTGACACCAAGTATTTCCAACTGGTGGCTGATTAGGCATAGATACAGACTCACTGAAAACAGTTACGAGGTTCAAAGCAGTAAGAAACAGAACAAGCTTCTTGAAGAGATTGTTAGAAGTCTCACTCTAGTCACTGTCCTCACTGACAGATGAGTGACTCTAGGATTTGAAGACCAGGAGTGGTTTTCTGATTGGGACTACTACTGTGTCACCCAGTCTTGTGTGGGGTTGCTACTCATGTTCAAAAGTTTGAATAATTTATTCATATTAAGTAAATTTGAATCCTCAGGTTGTGTCTGTTAAGATCTTTCTGTCATTCACAGTCACCTTTGCCCATGCAAATACCACATTTAAAGTTATTTAATTTGGAAAACTCAGACTTCTACATATTTTCTGCTTCATCTTTCTAGCTAAAAGTGCCAGATGGTTTTAGAACTTGAACACTAAGTTTCTTATGTTATTCATCTTTGTATTCCCAGAGACTCTAATACAAACCAAGAACCCTAGGAAGCAACATTTTCTATTTCAGTCTGTTCCTTATCATCTAAGCATATTATAAGAAACTGCATAGATAAATTACTAACAACCAAAGTCCCCACATGTCTGAAAAGAAGTGAATGGAGGAGTAAAAAATAGAAAATATCACCAAAGAGGATACACAAATAGGAAATAAGCACATGAAGAACTGTATTCAACATCATTACCCATTAGGAAAATGCAAACTAAAACAACAATGACATATACATTTATGAGAATGGCTAAAATTAAAAATAGTGGCACCACTATTTTATGTTAGTGAAGATGCAGAGAAACTAGACCATTCATATTCTGCTACTTAGAATATAAAAGGACATAACTGTTCTGGAAACCATATGCAGATTCTTATAAAACTAAACATATAATTATATAAAACCCACCTATTGCACTCTTGGGCCTTTTTCCCAGATAAATAAAAAACCTGCATATGAATGATCATAGTAAAATAGAATAGCCAAAAACTTGAACAGTTCAGATCCCAGTCAAGGTAAATGGTTAAACAATAATAGCACGGTGCCGTGCTATTTAGCAATAAAAAAGGAGCAAACTATTGACACACACACAACAACCTGCATGTATCTCTGGGGAACTATGTTAAATGATAAAAGCCAATCATAAAAGTTAAACACTGTATGAGTCCAGTTATACACCATTTTTTGAAATGACAAAAGTTTTGAAATGAAAAACAGAGAGATTAGTGTTGAGAGTGGGGCAAGTGAGGTGGGCCAGGTGAGAAGTACTTATAGTGATAGAATGGTTCTGCATCTTGACTGTGGCAGTGGGAATCATCACATGGTGTACATATGTGACAGCACTGAATAGGCCCAGACACACACATGAGTCTAAGTAAAACTGTGGAAATATGCGTAAGAGCTGTCTATTACATCAACATCAATGTCCTGATTGTGACTGTACATGATCCTTTTGTAAGAAGTTACCCCTGGGGAAAATTGGGTAAAAGGTATATGGCATCTTTCTGATTGCTTCTTATTCATGTGAATCTACATTTATTTCAAAAATTTCAAAATATGAAAAAGCAAAGATATAATAAGACATTTTGAAGCTTGTTAAAAACTAAATAAAATTTCTAATACCTCAAGGTTACAATATAGATGGTAGATGGATCATGCTCGTAAAGGAATTCTAACGTCTGGAATTTGTTTAAAATTATAAAGAGTAGTAAGTAGATGGAAGTTAAGAGGGGGCATGATTGGGCATGATTGGCCATGGAGTGATGGTTGTTGGGATCGTATCAGAGGTCCCGTGTATTCATTATACTATTCTATCTACTTTTATGAATATTTAAATTCTTCAAGGTAAAAAAATATGGTAAAAATTTTATGCTATCATGTTACAGTACATATGATCAGAAAATTCTGATAGTAAAAGGAACCTGAATGCTTCCATCTAGCCCAACACTCATCAAAACAGGCCCAGAAATGTTGCTGACTTAAGCAAGTCTGCTGATACTGAAACCATTACTCTTTGTACTGTGGTGTGCCACTTCTTAACTATTGTAATACTCCCTTTGGACTGATATTCTAAATACCATAATATTAACATTTTTAGTTTGTTAGTATTTATTTTTCTTTTGCAATGTGATTTTTAATAGATGTCGGTATCAATTTGATACTGAGTTACTGGAAAAAGAAGTCACAAT